GTCCTTCTGGTAAGTCCTCTTAAAAGAGTACAATGCATAAACAGAATCATGTAGGCAACAAAGAGACACTCAAGTCTCTGAACACTTGAATTAATGAAACACGGTGTATGGAGTTGTATAAAGTCCTTTGACATTCTAACTCAATTTATATTAAGTTTCAGAATAAACAGTGCCATCTTATCTGAGCATTCAGAGAGAAGAGGACTGTTATTAACATCACAGATGGAGGCCACACTTCCACTGACTTTCATGTCTCTGATAATCCACATGGGTAAGAAGCTTGACTGAAAGTGGCTTAAGTGGAAGACAACAAATATTTCTTCTGAATCCTTGTCCTCAACTCAGGCATCCATAATGTTGCTCATCTGAGTGAATCTTCAAAGTATAACAAGCTTATGTTCTCACATATTATAAAGTGATATAAGATGGGATCTGCCTTTTTGCTGCCTTCAATTCATTTTTTTAATCTGTATGGACAGCAATAATTAATTATGTTGCTTGTTTGTAAGACTTCTTTGAGATAATCAGTTTATTCATTTCATTTAGAACTGTTCTTAGGATAACTGGAACCTAATGGCCCTAGAAATTGGATTTTTGTCAGATTTGCAGATCACTACTGATTAAGAGGCACACAGTGAAAAATTACATCATTCTCTAAGCATCACTTAAACTTAACCCAACTGAACATATTACTGATATATCTGATGTATTACTGAGCAGCCTTTACAACTGGCAGTTAAATGCAAGTCTTAAAGAAACAGATTTGCCATTAAACTCCATGACTCCAGAGCTGCTCATTTACTTGCCTAGAAGAGCTTAAAAGAAATTTGGCACTCATTTCTCCTAACTTCACAAGCAACCTCTTCTATACTTCTTGTCTCAGAAAATTACAAGTTGAAGTGAAATTACACCTCTTGTGGTCTAGATTAGATATAGCCAAGAATTAAGATTGCATCTACTACTGATTGCTCAACTTACTGCCCCCAGCAACCAAAGGCTGAAGGACCAGTGGTCCAGCATATTTACACTTGGAAGACCAGCTCTAGGAACATCTCAGATGTTTACTGTTAAGCCTGTGCTCACTAACATTTTCTCAGTCTCTGCACTAAGGCAATTAAGCAATACACGTATTAAACATTAAGTATTTAAAGTCTTACATTGTCTTAAAATGAAGCAAAACTTACAAAGCAAGAAAACACATACCTGATATACCCTGAGCCTCTTTCTGTAGATCACAATACCACAGTCTGTTCACTGGATCACAGCCTTCTCTGATAGACAGCAAGACATATCGACCATCATCTGACACCTGTAGGAAGTTACAGAAAAATCAAAGGCAATTCATCCTCTGGGGAAAAACAAAAATGTCCAACTTGGGAAGTCAGTACCTAAACCCCCAGCAAAAAATGAATTGATGCTACAGATGGTTGAGTAAACTGAGGTGTATGGAATATGGGAACTCACCAAGAACCCACACTCAACACTTACACCAACATAAACTGATGTAAGTACATAAGTATAGTCATAAGTACAGCCTGCTGACATTTCAGGTCAAAACCAAACTGCATTATCTGTGTATTTCCACCATTATTTTGTTTCAAAAAGAAAGCTTATGATTATTACAAGCATTCCAGCTAAAAAGGAGTCTGAATGGGTTGAGATGGATCTCTACTCCACTGTGGACCTCAATGGGCTGCAGGGGGACAGCCTAACTCACAGAAGAATCTGCTCCAGCACCTAGAGCACCCCCTCCCCCTCCTTTTGCTTACTGTGGCAAACTAAGAGGCACTCAAGAGTTTAGATTTTTGCCATTTTCATTAGGTTTACACAAAAAAAACCCTAGTATTGCTGTTAAATGAACATTACAAGATACAACCACATTACAAATTTTCTGGTGAAGCTTCTTGGTTCACTTTTACCTGCACACACACGACAGAATGTTCAAAATGGTGTCTGCTAGTATACCAAGTCATCAATGAATCCTTCTTGCTGCTCAGGCTTTGCAAACATACTGTTTCCTGTCAAAGCTTTTGAAAGTGCAAGCCCAACAAAGAAAGGCAGGAAGTAACAAGAAGTCATCAACTTAAACTTTCCCTCTCCTCACTGAGCTGTTTTGAGCATATTCCAGAATGATCATATTTAGATGCTTTATTAACAGAGCTGATACAAAAGGCCATTTCCTGTCCACATTCTTATATGATAACATCTAATGGAAATTTAAAGCCCTTGTCACAAAATATGAATCTGGATTCTGGAGTTCTTATATGATAACATCTAAGGGAAATTTAAAGCCCTCGTCACAAAATATGAATCTGGATTCTGGAAACTTTCCATTTGGGCCTAAACACACCCTTCAGAGGAATTCTTATTCATAGAGTGTAATTACTTTTTAGATATATTCTGGTTAATACTTGTAACATTACTTGTGCAAAAGATCTGTAGAATGAATTATGCAAAATAAATTTCAGAAGAATTAGGTTCTAACTATACTTCTCAAACAGTTATACCCATACTTTTCAACTATACTATTCAAACAGATCCTCAGTTTGAAGACACAAGAAAGGGACATAGTAGAATAAACACAAATCTCAGTGTATGAAAGTTAACAAAAAACCCCTAACAATCACAGATTCCTTGAAAAAACTAAAGGCCAAATGAGTGTTTCCAAGGTGCATTTTTTACAGGCATTTTGTTAACAGGTAATTATACCACTAAAAAAACCCCATACAGCTGAAAGTTCACAAGACAATAGAAAAGAACACCTAAGATTCCTACTTGACTAATCCCCCCATTACACGAAACAGCAAAGATAACTTTATCAGGGCAGTCTGCAAAACGGAGACATTTTGGCTCCTCCTTCCTAAAAGGGAGTATATCCAGAAATGAGAACCAAGATTAGGTGATCTTTTTTGAAAGAAGCATCTTCAGTGTTTTTGGAGAAACAGTACCTGCAGGTGTCAGTTTCAATTATGAAAATGACTGTTATGTGCTGCTTAATATCTGTCCATACTTGTAAAAGAACCAAGTTTCCTTCCCTTCCTCACCGACTCAAAAACCTTAATTGTAAGTGGTATAAATAAATATAAATCTCAGTCAAACTCAAGACTATGACATACAGAATACTTTCATATCCAGACCCCCCATAAATTTGTTCTTTGGTGCTGTGAGTTAAATAGTGAACAGAAGACTGATCACTTCACCCAAAAAACAACACTGATTTGGCAAATTTCTGATGTTGCAGGGGCAATTCAGAACCTCTGATGACAGCAAATCTGAGTGCATCTAATGAGTTTTTCCTTCCATAATCCCAGCTGGACTAGTTAAGAGTTGATAGCAGTTTATGTTTAATTTGAAGTAGGAATTCCCGAAGCATCTTGCTGGTAGGATACCAATTATGTCTGTCTCTATCATTAAAGCTATTCTTACATCAGTAAGTTCTATAACCCAAAGGAATTTGACAGAAACAGGACAAGGCACAGTTGACTGCAGCATCCTAAAATGTTTAGCATTATACTGCAGATTTAGATATCCACATTGCAAATTTACAGTTTGATGATGAAATTTTGGCAGCAGTACCAGAATATGAGGTCTCCACCTCTACTGCTATAGGTGCTTTTATCCATGAGAGTTCATTCCCCACATCATGTCAGTACAAGCATCTCCCATTTGTGAAGTAAACCAGTCTGGGGAGCTGATCCAGCTGAAAAAAATAGCACCTTACACACACAAAAAAAAATAAAAAAAAAATAAAAAAAATTTAAAAACACCCCCAAAGACACAAAAGAAAAAACAAGTAAAATCCGG